GGCAGGTCACGACAACCTTCCTGTGGCAGCCTACCAACAAAATGCCTTCAGCTCCGAAACGCGTACCCGAACAAGGCAGGCTCTCAGTATGGCATCCTGCTGTACCGCATCTCATTCGCTGCAGGACAGTGTCTCGTGGTGAGGGGTACAGGCTGAAGGCTATGAAAATATTCAGGAAGCCCAGCTCAATGGCCTCTGTTGATAACCAAACGCTCAGTTAACAGCAGTGAAGTTGAGCACAGTGTTCCTACCAATAGCTTCTGCACGCTGGTAAAACCACAGCACAGATGACTCACCAGCCGAGGGCTGAGCGCATGAGGATGGCAGCAAGGCCACAGTATCCTGTGTCACCCCTTTTCCTGTTTGCCCACCAGCCTGTACTGCGGAGAAGCCTAAAACACGGCTGCACGAGACACTCCAAGTGTGTCAGACGGCTGTGCTGCACGCCAGCCATGCCAACCAGGCCACTTGTCCTGGTTCTTGTCAGCAGGTGGGAGAGAAGGCACAGGTCAGATCCACGTGCTTAGGGTATCACAAAGTAAAACCACTGTGTTTCCGTAAGATCTTGCCCCGAGGTTTGTAACACAGACTTTTCAATACAAATAATGAGCCTTTTGGGAGCTGCTGCTGTTCATTAACTGGATTATTTCCTAAGATGAGTCGCTGCTTCCTACAACCGTCAGCGTCAGTAGCATCCTCAGTATTCACACACCATAATCTCACTTTTCCAGACCATGATCCGACAACTGCAGAAGTCCGGGAGAGGAATGTGAGAGAAAGATTTTGCACCTGTCTCACTTAGGGCCAGTGTTAAATCCTTGGTTTCACCTCACGCCTGGAGGTGAAACTCCAGGGTGTGTAGCTCCTCCACGGGGCTACACAGCACAAGTTTAATCTGTTTTTAGTGATGTTGAAAGATTTTGCTTATGTCAAGGAATCTGTGCATGGCCTTACTGACAAGCAGAATTAGCACTCATCAGCTGTAAATGCCCAGAGACAACCACAGCAGCTGAGGGAAATAACTCAGTAACTGTAATGAGGATTGATAAGACTTGGTTTTAAATAATCATTGGCATTGGATGATCCCCTTATGGGTAGGTTTCTCCTGGAGTACGACTTCTTCCGGTAAAGAACCCGATTAGGCAGAATTAAAGGCACGAAACGTTTGCACATCCAGGGTAACGATTAGGAGACACACTTTGATGGCCCCTCAAGGCTAATCCACACAAAAGCCTCTGAAGTCAACAGCAATCACTCCAGAGTTGCATCAGAAAACGTAAATCAGTTCTTGATACTACGCAATTATTTCCTTTAGATGCAGAACATACCTACAAGCTGCAAAACCTCTCACTTCTTAGGAAGCTGGATCCCTACCACATGATGAACTTCACTTCCATCCCAAGCACAGGGCCTCTCCCGGATTAAGCTGGTCTAGTACTCCTAGAGGAAGACTGATGTGTTACACCACTCCCTGCTGAGCTGCAGGGTCAGGCCTGAAAAATATCTTTCAGCAATTGTTGCCACTGCGGGAGCCACACAAAACCCAGTTTGCAGTGCCCCTGCTGCAGCTGTGCCCGAGAAACCGTGTAAAATGGGCTGCAGTGGTGCAGAGTGCACTTCTACTTCCTCCTTGACGGAAGCCTTCATCATCATGCAAGTCAGCTGATCTGCTGACTCATCTTTTCACTTCGTCTAATGTTTGTGTTTGTTTGTTTGTTTTTTTAATTTTGGTGTAAGATGATGAGCTTTCAGTAGCAAAGTGCTTCAGACCACAACATACTTTCAAATCCTGGGTGCCAGGCACCTAAAAAAAACCAACCACAGTGGATAACAATAACACATCACTGAGAGAGGAGAATTTACCCATAGCTGTAGACAAAAGTACTGTGAATATTCTTGAAAATATCTGAAGGTACAGCAACCAACACAGCAGAAACACAAACAGGAAGAAAAAGGCGTTTTGGAGGATGCGCAAAGCAACGATGCCTGTACCTGTTTGCTGTCGTTTACCTGGTACGTGAAAAACACGACGTGATTAGCTCCAATCACACGCTCAGCTACGACGTATCTGAAGTTTATATCCCACCACTGACCACACGGATCGGACGCAGCTTTCTAACTCATCCCACATTAACCTTGTGCCTACAGAACGAATGTGAAAAGACACATTAGGTCCCGAGTAACCCCTGTCCTCTGCAGTCAAACACTTCGAGCTCCACCCCAACGGGAACGGGTTCGTGAACATTACCGCCCGCACTGCTAACACGCTGAGCAAAGAGCCAGTAGCCACCGCAACCTCTTGCCGAAACGTGGGTTCTTCTGGCGACCCGGAAGCACTGTGAGCAGCAGTGAGCCAGCACACTTCCTGAGGTACAGCAGCACAAGTAACGGCCATGCGTCAGGTGCCTGAATAACTGTAAGGGGTTAAAACACATGCTGACTACCCAACGCATTCTTCAAAGCTTTTTGGAGGAACGACGCTCCCCGCTCCCACATGCCAAGAAAACAATCAGGCCATGTTCATATATTAATTTTTTATTTCCCCATACAGTATTCACAGGGTCTGCTTTTTGTCTTACTCAAACTAAACTTTTTTTTTTGTCCCTCCCCAAACTAAACCAAGAACTGACATTACAGGACATGAAAACAAGTTCTGTAAACATAAAACATCCAAGGAATAGCTGAAAACCAGAGACTGTAGCAGTTAAAAACACAGTTATATCCCCTTTAACGCACAGCATTTACTTGTGCATCACACTATTAACCAAACTATCCTTTTCATATATTAAAAAGATGCAGCTTTAACCAAGTCACGATGCATTTCTTCACCCACTGCACGTTAGCATGTGTTTTATTACATCCTATTCAGTCACTTATCTTAAAAACTATATACAGCTATGTTTAAACGTGTATTTGTGCCATGTTTTTAATAACACAAAAATAAAGGCATTTTTAAGCTACCGCTGCACATTAGGCAGCAGGATGCCAGAGGATTGGTTCGGACACCTAATTTCAACGCCAAAGTCAAGTCCACTAAACCTCTGCAGTGGGAGTAATATTGAGCTGAACGGTCCCACTTCACACACTCCAACGTTACGAAAGAATAGAGACTTGTACGTGATGCTCGGCCATTATCCGTTTTACCCCTCCGCTTACCAATTCTGACAGTACACGGAAAAACTCGGTTAAAAACAACACATTCCAACCTTTAAAACAAATGCTTTTGTTGTGACTAAAGCCACGTGAGTGATTTTCAAACTCCAGAAGACAGCAGTGGACACTATCAAACCTAACTCGTGTTTTCACCCCACACGCGAAGCGTACCACCTGCTTCGTCACCGTGTGCGACGCAGCGCAAAACGCACCAAGGATCAGCCGCTGAAGCACAAGAACGAAGCACGGAAGTACCACCAGGGTGACTGCGTTCAGGCACAGCCTTACGGGCGACGGACACACTAGCGCTGCTGTTTTCTGATCTTTGTGAGTTTTCACTATTTCCGGGAAGCTTGCGTCCCAAAATGGGACCGTGGTATTTAAAATTCAGTACAAGATAGAAAAACATTATATATAATCCTGAATTTCACATGCATTAAGCATTTTAATACCGCTGTGACCTTTTAAATAATTTTTGATGTGTTTAAGGTTTTTCTGCAGTTTCCAAGAGAGCAGTCATTCAGTTCACAACAGAGAGTAGGTGCACTTTTTTAGCCATCACAAGATTTCAAAATCAAGTCATCTTAGATCAATTGTTCAGATTGCTCAAGTGTCACCTGTACATGTAATTTCAGGTTTTTTTCTAGAAATAATACAGGCAATTAGTTAAGGTTTAGCATTTTTTCTCTGTTTGCCGAGAACCTGTTTAAGAAGCATCTTTTGAATTAGTCAGCAACACATGATGAAGATTTTTCACCTCAATTTGTGTGCACTTAAGGGCTGGTCAGTCGACCTATTCCTCCAGAGCCATGTGAAGCTTATCCAAACTGCGACCAGCTCAGTTCAAGCTACGTGTATGTACACGTACATTTACTACCCTCCACAGCCAAATAAACCAGCACTGCACAGTACAGAAACTACTACAGGGCAGTGGAAACAATGGAACTATAGCCCTACCGATAAGATCACCTGAAATATTTAAAACGTTTTCTGACCACTAGGAAAAAAAGAGTGGGAATTAGATGCACAAGGCCATCGCGTATCAGTGCACCACACACAGGAAAGTAAGATTTACAGCACTTGTGCAATGCAGTGTCCAACAGGCCTCTTCGCAGGAAAGCAATTTGGGAAAAAGCTGTGTATGTGCCTAACGCATAATAAAACCTCGTCCGGCGCTGGTGCTGCGCCGCTTAACAAACGAAGCTACTTCTGCTCTTCAACCCCAAAGGGAGCAGTATGTATGAATACAGAAACTGCACGGTTACAAGATTCCCTATTTTATTGCATGTTTCTTAAATAAACTTGGAGATTTGGATTTCTGAATACAGAAACTGGATTTCCTGAGCATTCTCAGCTTACAGTTTGTCCAGTAAAAGAAGCATCGTAAAAGAGGAAACGCATTTATTTTAATATAGAAGAACGTATGTTTAAGCAAACACACTCCAGTATAAAATTTAGAATTTTTGAAGATGAAGACTTAACAGGCTGATGGAAAATTTGCACCATGACGTAGTGTCAAGTTTGCAACAATTTCTCAAATAAACAAGGGGTACCACTATATTATTTTTTTTAACAGCAAATCAAAACAGTGTACTACAGCTCAACACATCTGTTTTTTTAGAATCCAATGCATTCAGCCTGAAAATTGAAGTAGTATTGTCCCCCATGTCAGACACTAGACTGCTGGGTTATTTTAAAGTGTTATACTGCAGATGGCTAAGATTACTGGTAAAAATCTAACTCAGTCTGGATTTAAATCAGTCGAAACGGAGGCTGGTCACTGCCGGATATTTAGTACAGGGATCAGAAAATCCTTAAATTCAAAGCATTTTTAAAATATTTCAAATCAGGCGTCCCTTTCGTAACTTTTTTTGATCTGTTTTGTGATTTTTAAGGGATGACGAGTAGACACATTTGAATGCTGTGTATATTCAGATCGTTTGTACCTACCATTAATTGGAGAACAGTTAATTTTTACCAATGAGTAGCACACAATGACCTGAAGCATTACCACTACCAGTTACGATCCAACACGGGTTGTTGTGGTTCTTTTATCCGAGAAGAAGCTTTTGAGGAGAAAAACCTGCCCGATACTAACAACCAGAAGAATGATTGCTTCCCCTATGGACCAGTAGGCCACCCTCGTGTTTAAATCCTCTGCTCTGCTGCGGCCCTGAGCTTCCCTCAAGCGGAAGTGAGTCTGATAATCGATGACGGACTTCAAAGCTTCGTGGATTGAAACGCAGGCAGACTCCATCTAGGGAAGCAAACAAACACACACTACTGAATTACAAACCCTTCCAGTGCTTTTTCTGCTAAGTTTTGTGGTTTGGTATTTAAAATTATGATTCATGGATCTTTTCAAGCTCGGGATAAACTCCATCTATTGCGAGACTAAAATGCTGCAAATGCAGTAAAATTTAACTTACATTGACCAAATTCCACACATGGGAGCACGACACTTAAATACAGAAGCACGTAAAACTGCAGAATTAAAAAAAGCAACAAACAGGCTTTGGGAACAACTAAACACATCCTAAATTTGTGTGTATTTGGGTTCAAAAATGAACACTAGAAACACTTTTGAAATGTCAGTGATCCTCCACTTGTTAATTCCACACATCCCATGAAAAAAAGCAGTTGCTTGTAACATTAAGACACACATAGTGCATATTAAATGCCTCTGTGTTTTGCAAGTGCGACGTTCTTCACTGCATAATTCTCACTCAAGCTGTACAGCATCTTAACATCTCCATTACTGAAACCAACAAGTTCTGTTGGCAAGAGACCCTTCTCTTAGGCACGTACCCAAAAAGCGGTAAGAGAAAAGGCAGTTTTGCCATCTTCTATGCTCCCAAATGCTCCATAATATAATCACACACCAAATATTTAACAAAATTCCCAACTTCGCTGTCATTTTTCATTAAAAAAAAGCATTACTAGTTTTCCAAGCCCTAGATCATTCTTCACATAAACTTCCTCCACCTTCAGTTTATCTTCTCTACGTAAAAGTCAGCATCCCTTGCCTTGTTTTGATCAGCAAGAGATTAATCAATAGATCTTCAGAATATCTAATTTTTAGTCACACTTTATTTTTCTGGTTTATGGCTTAATATTTGTATTTCCTGAAGATCAAATAGCACAAGCAAAGGAAATGTTTAACACCGTGACGGGACCACTCTCAGTTACTTATATCTCTGCCTAACCATCTTTTCAAGCGGATGAGCTTTCAAGACAGGTGCCTGAACAAGCCTAAGATACTCTCCTTAACAAAATTCAGGGCAAGGTTTTCCAAACTAAGTTCTGCCATTGGTCTCCCTGATCAACTGTAGGGCTCTCCTAATCCGCACAAGGGATATAAACACAAAGTCACACTGTTCTTATGGATTTACCTTCTCCTCTCCCTGTGACAGGCTGCCCAAATTTGGTCATGCTACAAGCCTCAAGAAACCTGCAAGAACCTTCTTCCCAAAGATGTGTTGTACTCTGATGATTAACCTTCCCTTTCCCAAACACATTATGTGCACTGTGAATGCTACAACCCAGTGATAAATTAATTTTAACAGATCTTCCGCAGGCTGCATGGGTCTGCTAAACCCAGGCACTGCCTGTTCTTTGACTCAGAACCCCTCTGCTGATGCCAAGACAGCAAGAGAAAAAAAACAAACGTAACAGAACACACGACTGAACAGAATAGAGACTAAAGTAAGGGAGATAGGAAGACATAGGATGAAAGAGAGAATCCAAAATAAAGCAGAGCAGAAGAGTGACCAGAAACAGGCAAGACATGCAGCTGAATTCACAGAAAGTCATCCACTCAATACAGATCCCAGGTACTACAGACTTATGAGAGGTGAGTTCAAGCGAGATTGGCATCTGAGAAGTGGTATAGGTGGAATCTCACACTGCTGAGTCCGGGCCAGCAGAACAGCATCCATATCCAGCATTCGCTAACGGTTGTTTAAAGCGAGGTTTGGTGATGATTATGATGTTAGTGGGAATTCATGAAGCAAGTGTTCCAAGGAAGTTTTAATGAATTTAGACTGGGTGGCAGTGGTTACAACACTGTAAAATCCTGAGAATATAATAATAATGCTCTGACACTTTGTAGTGTCTTACAAAGGACAGTTATCTAGAAGACAGCTAAATATGGCTGATTTTGTCCATTTGTTTATTTCCTTCTCCATTTTAAAAATGGCAGTTACATGAGAGGTCAAGTTAAGCCCTCTCCCAAAAAAGATTCTACCATTTTAAATTTAAAAAAAAAAAAGTTTCTCTACAGTTTGGAAATTTTTAAAACCCTGATTTGGCAATATTTCACAGTTTGTGAAATGCACACTTCAAGAGGTACACAACCATAGCATTAAAAGGAAGTTACCTTAAAAAAACATGGCCTAGCGTTTAAGTTACTATCCTAATTCTCCCTCAAGCACTCAGTGATTTCTTCTCAACTCTGTTTTATATTCTATAAATCCTGTCTTTAGAAAAAAAGATTATTTGTACTAATTCAGATTATTTCAAAAGCTTAAATCCGTTCATTTTCAAAACAAGATATAGCAGTCTAATGCAGCTGAAGTTGAAAAAAAGAAACAAACCACTGCCTCCACCTAACAGCTGTTGTCAAACGTGACAGCATCTTACCTGGGTAAGTGCAGTTACTCTGTTCTCACTAGGAAACAGCGGCGGATCCTCTCCGACTTGGAAATCAAAGTACACAGTTTTGTGTGTGAAAGTAGAGAATTCATTGCTGAAGCAGAATTTGTATGTTCCATTCCTGGAGGCAGTAAACGTGAAGCTGTCATACTGTTTCTTCATCTCTTTGTACAACACAATGCCATCGGGATCTTCCAACCGACAGTCAACATCATAATGACCGCCAGTGATCACCTGAGAACAAAAACACCAAGTAATTGTCTTTTTGGCGAAACAGACATTTATACATGTCTTCTAAGAAGTACAATTTGTCAGGTGGCACTGCAAAAGCTTTTGCTTTAACAAATATTTTAAAACATGATGCATTCATTTAAAGTCTTTCAAAGCAAGCCTGCAAAATTATTTTTTTTTAACAGAAGACAAACAGAAAATAATTAAAAATACCTCAGCTTTGGCATATGTAATGCCAACAATATTTTCAAACTGTTTGAGAGCAATTTTTGTTGCAGTGTTACACATAATCGAACAACATCAGGGGCTACAGTAGATAAACGCCACGGGGCAGCAAAGACATGACTGTAACAAGTCAACCACTCGCTGTACCCCCAAGTCCTCCGTGGAATTGTTTCCATGAGTTTCCTAAGAGGCAGTAAGGCAGCTCCTTTCTGTTGGGCTGAAGTAGCGTAACTACCCTGTCAGCTCAAGCTGCTCTAGGCCGCAGGAATGGCGTGGAACCGGTTGGGCAGGTATTTCAACCTGGCTGCCTTCTCCTGTGCTAGTCAACCCAGCAATGCCTGGAAGCAGGGGGGGGGGGGGGGGGGGGCCAGTCTGCTCGGTAGGCTAGCTATCCCACCTCTAACTCCGGTATTCATGGTGTTCCGATGACTCTGAGGCCAGTTTTACACTAAATCCTTGCTCCAAGCTTTTTGCTTTTAAGACAGAGGATGCTGAAGGAGGAATAGACATCTATCTAAAGGCATGTCCCTTTTACATGTGTGCAGGTACTGCTGAGCAACTTCACTACCTGGGTATCCTCACTTCACAGGTTACTCAAACTCACGTCGGTTCATTTAGAAGTTGCTAAAACAAGGTTAACGTTAAAACTGAAATTACAAGATATCTGAGCAGTAGCTGCTCTGTAAACAGGAAGTTTTAAAAATATTCAGTTGGTAATCAGTATCTTCACAGTTTTTCCAAAAAATGCGGATCTCTGGATCCCTGGGTGTCCCTCCCTAGATGTCTGCAGTTTTGGGGGATTTTCATAGAGAAATGCTTAGCTGGTGGGAAGGAAAAACAACAACCAAAATTTTACATGATGAAATGACTTTGAAATAAAATTAATACCTTTTCGAAGTATGATCTCACATTTGACAGGGGCATGCTTTTTACCAATTACACAAAAGTCACTCTCACTCAGTTGTATCAGACACCCCAAAAGGGCCAGTTCACAAACACATGATAAAATTTTGCCAGAGCTTTAAAGCTGCCCTAGCATTCCTTCCCACAAAGCTCGCTTGCGATTCCTCTCAGCGCTTAAGACATATTCCAAGGAACGCGCACACAGCGCCTCAGCCTACTGGTGGATGGTCAAATCCAGACTTCCCTTTTCACTGTGCTAGTCCTGCTCTGATCACCAAGGGAAGTGACAACAGTAGGCTCATGGGTCCAGCAACCTCCAACGACAGTCACTTGAAAACAAGGGTGGACGGGGAAGTACTGCACACAAAAAAACATTTAGATAGGGAAAAACGTACCTAATAACTAGAACATACAGGACAGAGTAACAAGGACCAGTCTTTGGCAGCAACATTCCCAAAAACACTAAAGATGGGACAGTAGCTGGGAAAGAAAAAAAAAAAAAACCCACACCAGACTTCAACAAGAAAAGTCAAACACAGCCCCTTCAAAAGCACCCAAAGATAACTGTGACTCCCATCATCAAGGATAATTCCTCTCCCAGGCTGTGACTTCACCAACCAAAGCGACAGACTGAAAGGTTCCAACCCTGCCGGCACACCCAGAGGCACCAAAACTGCCAAGAGCTGTTTGCTCAACACATCTCAAAGCTGAAGAGCATGCTTTGTCACGACGGCTGCACGTCCAAACTGTTAGAAACCAGGAAAAGTACAAAAACCTGTGCAGTCTCACTTAACACGCACGTTAACCATAGTCTCCACGAAGATGTCAGTTACCTGGATGTTTTGTTTTTCATAAGACTCCTGTCTTACTATATGCCCGGGACACTTTGCTAGTACTGCATGCCTATTCCACCTCTTTTTTGCTGTTTGCTATGTGACCCAGTCTGAATCATGCTCTCAGAAACGAATGAGCTCCTTAAGTTGTATCACGCTCATCACACAAACCCTTCACCAACCACAAGGAAATTACTTTCGCAGCTTATCGCCGGGTGGATGTGCTGCAGTTATTCTCCCCGCTGTTCAGATGGGGCACGGCAGAGCAGTGATCAGGGCCAATTTCGCACGTTTTACTTCGCTCTGAACTCTCGCCCCG